TCGGTTTTTTGGAAGCCCGATCCGGGTCACCGATCCGTTTTTTAAACCATTGCTTCGATCCAATGAAAATCACAAAATCTAGTTTTTTTGAGGTTTCTCTCTCTCTCTAAAATGGGTTCTTGTGGGTTTAGGTTTCAAATGAACCTAAAACCCACCCTTAAAAGCTTTTATTTTTCAAAAACACTCACTAGAATAAAAATAAAAATAATTCATTTCAGCCCATGGGCGGCTACCCAAGGCTGGGCACTGGGCGCCCCCCTAGGGACCACAGCCTAGGCCTGGGCGATGCGCCCAGGCCCTCTGGACCGCCTAGGTGGCCGCCTAGGCGCTGGGCGGTCCGCTTTTTGGAACACTAGATAAAAGTTTTTTTTTGTTTACATAGCCCTGATATAGAAGATAATAACTAGTCATGGAGCAACAACTTTATCAATTAAGAAGGTTTGATTAACATAACTAGAGGGACTTGTATCTATTTGTTTCCTCTCTCCATCTAATTTGATAGAATTTTGATTATATAAAGAGGATATTGTAAGCTGGGAAGTATTGAAATCATTGAATGGACAATGGGAAACCATATCAATGAGCTGATAGACATGATAGAGAATGTGGCCCACAACTGGGTCCATGTCCTATTCTGGGGGACTCCCAAACTCTCTCCACCACCTTTCATCATTTCATCGGATGGATAACACCTATGGACATGAGTATATCATAGTCCACTGGATATGATACCAGTTACATTTTAGGTCATAACCAAGTAAGCAAAATCCAAGGACATGGTGTATATATTGCACACGAAGTAAAAGTTTGTTGTACTACCTTGATTGACCCATCTGAATGTCCACTACAAAGCTGTCCTTTGTAGTATAGAAGAGCATGTGCAGCCCCATTGCCATTGCTGCCAGCCTCCAGTAATTGTTTGTGGGCACAAGATAAAGGCGATGGCTACCACCACAATAGTTAAATAAACATATTGATTAGACGATGGATATTTGGTTACAACAAGGAAACTATTTAAAGTATAACATGATTAACAACCTCATAACAACATAATAACAAACTTGGAATTGGCATGCTGTTCAATAGGAAAAACAGAAAAAATTTCAAATCCCATGTGCATGAACACTATGGCTATATTATACAAGGGTCTCTAGAGACCAAGCAAAGATCGTAAGAACTAGAGGAAGGGGCAGATTAGGGAGAGCTAGACCTTGCAAGTGGGCCATAGGCACTAAAATCTGTGGTTTTGGAGTTGGGGTTGTACAAAAACTCACTTGTTCTAAAGAGAAGTTTGTTTCATTAGAGGGGAGAAGCTTTCAGGAGAAAACTATTTTAAAGAGTAAAAGAAATAGAAATATTAAGAAAAAAAGGAAATTTAAAAAATGATGGCCAGAAAATAGAATATATGAGGGCAGGAGACATGCACACAGGTCAAGTGTATAGAATGAGCCGTATACACAAGGACAGTACAATTTTCTCAAGTGATAATGAGTTCACAGCCAAAACGAATTAGCCAAGACAAAGCTAGGCAATCCATAAAAGATGCAAGGAAGCATAAAGGCTCAGCAAAGGGTCACCTACCAATTTACTAGGAACCGAATAATCAATCACTTCATATAGTTCCTCTGCAATCCAAGTGATACTTGAAAGACGTCTGAGTGACTCTCCAAGTTCTTCTGAGTATTTTATAAGCTTTTGCAAGCCTACAAAACTCCAAACACAATACAAATTTCCATGAATCATTATTGAACCAAAACTATCATATAATTTCATAAATTCAACATTTCAATGATTTACTACACTTGAAAAATAAAAATCATGTTTCCATGCACAAAGATGAGGACTACATGAATGTGCTGAGCATTCATTCTAAGGAAAACCCCTTAAGAAATGCCTTCTCCTATAGATAGCGATAAAGATAAGAATTGTCAGAACAGTGACAGTATCTAAAGTTGGAAAAACATGATCTCATGTTTCTCACCATTCCTGAACTCTTTGTTTTGGATGGTTGGGGTTGCTAGACATTCTTTAAGTTAGAAATATTTGTGAGCCAGTTTGGTATCCTGGACAGTATTACCTTCAACCAAAGCATAATTGTACACACTCATACATGCTAGCAGTCGCTCTTCCAGCTCTGACCCAGGATGCAGAAAGGCTATTACCCCGGGCAATAAAATCTCACAAGCAGAATACCCAATTGAATCTCTTCCCATTGCAGCGAATTCACACCCAATCCATGCAATGGCTATGAGACAATCCCTTGAAACCTGGTGTATATTGCTCTGGAGTCCCTTCCTCAGAGCATAAAAGGCAGAATTTCCAGTCAAAATTATGCTTCGTGCTATCTTGCTATACCAGCTTTCCATGTCCGCATATTCCTGTAGGATGCCACAAATAGGAACTCCAATATGAAGTTCTTATACCAACTTCATAAAAGACGCACTATAAATGACAAGTATCACTTTAAGTAGTAAGGAAAGCATGGTATAGTATAGTCCAATGGACTGTGGAAAACACAGTCCATTGGATCATCACCGTCAAATGAAATGAGAGCTGGTGATGGAGAGAGTGGGATCCACCATTGGGGGCATGTCTTGTTCTAGTGGGTCCCACTTTTTCTCCATAAACATCCATCATTTCATCAATATTTAGCACCCCAGGGGACTCTGCTTTTTCAATAGTTAAATGCTAGAATGCCGGCATTACTGATTACCTGCAGGCTTTGATCCGTAGGACCCAAGTCCCTCATCACATGCCAATGATCTAGGGATATTAAACCAGCTCTCTTCACTAACCGTGCAACAATAGATGGTTCACCTGTCCAGGTAAAATTCCCACCAAGATTTGCAAGAGACGAAGCGGACATTATCTGCATGACACTTCCTTCACATGTAACTGATTCTAACAGTACTTCTATGGCTGCCTCTCTAAATACACTGTTGGCTCCCAAATCATCCTGAGAAAAGATCAAGTCAAGCAAAAATATTAGCAGTTTGGGCCACTAGAAATTCCAAGCTCCCAAGAAATCTGCTATTAGAAAAAGAAACCGATTATCAATTTCCAAAACAAAAAGGGGATCCAGTGAGTTTTTGAAAAATATTGCTTTCGTAAGACCCAGCATATTACGCCTTAGAAACTCTGAATGAATGACATTGATTGTTAAAAACAATCCTTAAATGGAACATGTTGAGTGAAAAGAGAGAGAGAGAGAGAAAGAGAGAGAGAGAGAGAGAGAGAGAGAGAGAGAGAGTAGTAGTAGAGACGTATATACGACGAACGTAAGTAACGAAACGAAAAGGAAACGAACGTAACGTAACGACGACTACGTACGTACCGTAGGTACGAACGAACGAAGAAGTAAG